ATTTGGTGAGGAAAATTTTAACAGCAGGCATGTAATTCATATACGTCTAAAATCCAAGTGCACACCTGGATTTGATGTTCCCAGAATATTCAGCAAAAATATGCTAATACCCCAGAATAGAAGCTCACACTTCATTCTCCAGGTCTTGGGGTCCTCCTCACACTTCCATGTGTGAGGTCAACAACTTTGCAAAGGTTGTTCTCTGGAATTTTTGCTGATGGCACACCGAAATCCTTCATTTTTACCCTTTTTCCTTATCTTTCTGAGCTGTGGTGTTTTGTTCTTGTTGTTTCTCGATTCATCTGAGAGCTGGTGTTTTTCCATTACTGGCTCACTCCAAGAACGCCTTTAAGATGACCTCATTACTCTTCCACCAAATAAGGATTTCCCCCGATGTCATCCATCAGAGCTCAACCAGCTCAAAATGGCTCAAGCCAGCAGCTAGGGCCTGGGTAACTTCAGTTCACAGCTACTCTCTTTGTGCGTGAGCAGCCTTTGGCCAACACTTCCTAACCGCTTCCTGTGATACCTCATCCTTCTTCTATCAATGTCCTCTGTATCAGTATAGTACACAACCTCTGGCAGTTCATCATCCTCTGTCAACAACGAAACCACCTCTGACTGTGCAGTACAGCTACAAATAATTTTGTTGGAGTTATCTACAAAGAACAGCACTCTTGACCAAATGTATAATTTATTAATGTCTAATGCTATTTGTTTGCTATGTTGTAATCTCAAACAACAATTACTCACCTTAAAGGCGCTGCATAAATATAATAAAATGTTCCCAGGGTGCTTTACAAGAATGTTATAAAAAGAAGTATGACACCAACCCATAAAGGAAGGTATTCATTCAGATAACCTAAAGCTTGGTCAAAGATGTAAGTTTCAAGATGTAAGTTTCCTTAAAAAAGGAAAGAGAGACAGAGAGGCAGAGAGGTCGGGAGGAAAGTTCAGAGTTTTGGGACCAAGACAAGTGAAACATATCCTTAACTAAACGTTTTCTGTCTGTTGGGATTGGAACGTGACATACAAAGCATCTATTTAATTCCTATGCTGTGTTTTGTTTCAGATAGGCAAATATTGTTGCTATCTGCTTTGCCCGCAGAAGTACGCATCATAAATGATCAAAATTGGCAGCATGGTGTATCAGGTCTCAGGCCGAAGTTCTTGTCTGTCATTCTTTGGAACTGAGGCACGAGCAAATTCTCCCCCAGTGGTCTTCAACTTGCCAATATTTTTAAAATCCTTATTTGTTACCATATGTTACGATGGTACAAATTGCCTTGTGTCTCTTGTCAGTGATGCCATACAGTCATGGAGTCATACAGACAGGACTCTAGGAAACAGACCCTTCAGTCCAAACAGTCCATGCTAAACATAATCCCAAACTAAACTAGTCCTATCTGCCTGCTCCTGGCCCATATTCCTCCAAAACTTTCCTATTCATATATCCATCCAAAGGTCTTTTAAACATTGTAATTGTACCTGCATCCACCACTTCATCGAGAAATTCATTCCACACGTGAACCACCATCAGTATAAAAGTATTTGCCTCTTGTTTGTTTTTTTTTCCTTTGTCCCCTTGTCTTGAAATTCCCCATTTTAGGGAAAAGACAACAACCATCAACTCTATCTATACCTTTCATTATTTAATAAACCTCTATCAGGTCACCTCTCAACCTCCTATACTCTTGTGGAAAAACATCCTAGCCTATCCAGCCTTTCCTTATAACTCAAAACCTCCATACCTGGCAACAACCTGGTAAATCTCTTCTGAACCCTCTCTAGCTTCATAATATCCTTCTTGTAACTGGGTGACCAGAGCTGGACACAGTATTCCAGACAAATCTTCCCCAGTGTCTTGTACAACCTCAACATAATGTCCGAGTCCTATCCTCAAAGGACTGGGCAATGAAGGCATGCGTGCCAAACGCCTTTTAAACCATCCTGTCTATATGTGATGCAAACTTTAAAGAATTATGTACCTGCACTCCTCGGTCCCTCTGTTTTACAATGCTACCCAAGGCCCTACCAATAATTATATAAGCCCTACCCTTTTTTGTTGTACCAAAATGCAATCCAGATTGAACTCGATCTGCCATTTTTCAGCCCATTGACCCATTTGATCAAGATCCCTTTGTAATCTTAGAAAACCTTCTTCACTGTCTACAATGTCACCAATTTCAGTGTCATCCACAAACTTACTCATCATGCTTTATATATTCTCATCCAAATCATTTACATAAATAACATATTCAGAAATTGGCACTTGTTTAGTTTTAAAGAACCTGGCAGCTGTGTTCAGCAATCTGGTTGTAATTCAAAGGAGTCCAAACAGTCTATCCTGTATTTGTATAATTCATCAACTCTCTTTTAAAAAGCATGCCTCAGCTGATAATTTTGCAGAGGAAGTTTAAGATTCGGTCTTTAATGAGAATGTTAGTTGCATTTGTAACCTCCTAATATGCTCCCCCCCAAAAAACACAATATTTAACCTTACAGTCTGTGTCAATCCCCAGTATAATGTGACCTTACAGTCAATGCTTTTAAAACTGGACATAAGTTGGAGCTTTCGGCATTTAAGCTTCAGATAGTCCAAAGTCTCAAGTGAATACTTAAGTAAATATGGACATTTATAGCCAACAGGAGAATTCAGACATTCTTTTATTTAAGGATGATTCAACACAAAAGAACTATAAAATTTGAAAATACCTGTCCCACGATTCCACTCTGGACAAAAGGAAGCACCAAAGTTCAGGATGTAAGATGGATGTGAACAGATGCTATCGACTTTCCATTGTGTTATGATAGTCCCTCTCATTCTTGGACAAAGTATTTTGTGTTGTACAAAGGCAAATTATGCATTGCCATGTTGTCTGATTTTAATTCAGCAAAAAGCTGCTATGCAGATAGGCTTCCACTGAAAGACATTGAATTAGCTACAAGCCATCAATATGCTGAGATAATTAACTGAAATACCTCATAATTGAATTTAAAAGGAGGCAGGCAGACTCTCCAACTTTTCTTCCAATTTCAAGTTCATCTGAGAACTGACCTCCTAGAAAACTGATGACAAGAACCCTCACAACCTGCTGAGAACCCTATGCTTTACAAGGTCCTCACATCAGCTTTAAAGCATCAACTTCATCCTAGAGATTACAGACCTGCTATTAAACAGGCCAATATAATTATAAGCTATAAAAACACATTATATTTATTCGTATCTAATCTTTTTAATGTAAATGAAACATTGTGTTATTTGAGGGAGTAAGGAAGTAAGAATAAATAACCTTCTTTATTTTTAAACTCATTTAGCATTGCTATTGGAGATATTTAATTGGGATACATATCATAAGTAAGAAAACACGCAACCCTTACATTCCAAATAAACTCATCATGGTCAGTGAACGGAACACACAAATTTTGTCCAGAACCGGTGGCAGTGCACCTTGTTACAGTCGTGCATGATTTGTTACTGTGTTGTATTATAAATACGAATCTTCACATCCTTCACAATGTTTGCTCCATGGTTAAAGGTGACCAGTTGAAGAAAGGTCCCAGGTTGACTGGTTATTTCTGGTTCTAGCCTTCAGCAATATACTTGATGGTACAAAGGAAACATTGAACAACCACTTAAACTTTGATGCAAGAGTTTCTGTCAGCTCAAAAGAGTCCTGAAAGGAGACAGATTGAATAAAATGTTTGACTAACTATGTATTACAAGTAAAGTACATGTATTATAAGTTGCAGACTCTGCAGTTTTGTATATTATTTGAACTTTTGCCTCTCTGGACTCTCCAAATGTATAAAGATTCCACCAGTAGTTTGCGCTAAGTGGAGTTAGTATTTTTCTTAGCCATTTAAGAAATGTATGGAACGTCCTGCATGCTGTCCATCCTGGAACATGCTGTGATCAGATAACTCAGCATCATCATTGTCTTGAGTTCCCTGCCCAAAGGAAAGGCCTTGCTGTGACATTTTACTGCAGGTTAGGACAACGAGGCAGGTTTTGAGTCTGCCTTATCCAAAACAGGGGATAAAAGCTGTTGGTATTAATCAGATTCACATGCCAGCCAACTAACCTAGAGGCTAATTGGGTCTCACAGCTCAGTATAGCAAGAATCAAATCAAAATGCCACTTTCAGACTTTGAGAGGCAATGTCCTTCTGCTGGGGTCTGTCATCAGGCCACTCGGATAAGAAAACGTCACATAAGAAGCTGAAATCTGTGAAGTTACTGAGTGGCAAACTAATATCTGATAACTTCTTACAGTACTTCATCCTCCCTAAGCTCCTATGAAAGTTAAGTTAGCTCACCGTGGATTATATAATTGATAATTAGAAAACATCTCATAGAACTAGAATTTAAGAACTCTTGTGACCCTACCTTGGAAACACCTGGGTTCCAGTCCCAGTAGTGTGTCAAAACATGGTTAAATAAATTGCCTAAAAAATATCAATATCAAATGAGAATTTAGAATTAGAATTAGAATTAGGTTTATTATCCTGTGTCATCAAGTACAGTGATACAGTGAAAAGTTTACTATATCGCCCCTCATGGCACCGTCTTAAGTACAAAGTAGCTAGATATAAGTCTTAGGTACAAAATAGAGAAATAAAGTGATTCATAATATAAATTAGAAAAATAAGAAATAAAGTTAAAAGGATAAATATTACAGTCAGATAAATAGATAAATGTGTATTGAAAAGAACATTAGTGTCTCAACCACCACTATCCATAACTCCTGACCACGTGCCTGTAAAAATGCATGTTGTCATGGGGACTCAGGCATCCTGACTGAACTGTAATACGTAGCTGTATGTTTTATAAGGCCATTTCAGAGATGAACAGTTCACAGGTAAGGATCAATTTCAGAGGACAGTTAAAGATCAAATTTGCCATTGTAGAATAGAGTAACATATAGGCCAAAAAAAAGGAATAGCATCATTGTAATATTTGTTCCATTAAAATAAAAGTGCACTTTTTTATTCATACAGCTTCAACAGCCACGACCTGCAATGATGCTGGAATTCCGCAGAATGGAACCCGGAGTGGGGACAGCAGAGAGCCTGGAGATACAGTGACTTTTCAGTGTGACCCAGGTTATCAGTTGCAAGGAACTGCTAAAATTATGTGCGTGCAGGTGGACAATAGATTCTTCTGGCAACCTGATCCTCCAATATGTACAGGTACAACACAGAACAAGAATGATGTAAATCATTCATTTTTACAAGTCAAATTGGTTTAACAAAGGAAACGAGTATATCACATTATTTAATTAGGATCGATCATAAAAGTAGGTGAACTACATGCGCAGCATTTTCATCTGGGTGCAGAGTGGATTTCCTCTCTCTCATGAGCAAGTCTAACTTGCCTCTGCATTCAGTCACGCTGTTCCCATTCGTTTTTTTTGTGGTTCAGCAATGGCTAGTGAGCAATTACATCCTGAACCTGCTCCCAACCTCCCAAAGTTGAGTTTCTCAATTTAGATTTCCTCCCACTCTCAAATTTTACTTGAACGTGACAAAGAATTAATTTAACAATGATTAAAATGTGAGCTGTGCATACTGAGCAATTGATTGAAGTATTTGAGATGGTGATACAAATCTAATTTCATAAAAGCATCGCAGTGGTTCAGCTGGAAATTATAAATTTGACCTGATTCTCATTTCAATTGACTTCAATGAATGGTCAATCTGTTACGATATATTTGTTTCTCTGCTGAAGTTTAATTTCAGCACCAACATATTAACTGCATTTCTCTGCAAAGGACTTTAAGTTATATTTGGCGAGGTTTTCTCCTCAGGCAAGCAAAAGCCTTAATCCAGAAATGGAGCTCCGATGGTTATTTAAAGCCCCATATGTGCTTTTTAATATCAGAGATCCTCTTATAGCTCCATTGTTCTGTAGTGTAACTAAGCAAGAGATTTATTACCACTCAGATCTACTCATAAACTGGCATGTTTGGTGCCTCTGGGATTTTAAACAAATTTGAAGTAGGCAGACTGCAAATCATGCTGCGCAGTGTGTGTGTAGGAATTTTGTGGACAAGTTATTCGATAACTTATCATGTCAATCACCAACCGTGAAGATAATCTTCTCTGAAATTCCCAGTGAATTAAGGTCAGCAACCTAAGGTGTGCTTTGATGCATTATTCTTTAACTGAGTTACAGACACCTGTCAAGTGGATCATACAGGTCCGGACATTCAACAAATGGCAGTATTCAGAGAGGACAGGAGTTCAAGGAAGTGCTGGCTTCCTGGACATCATGAAAGAAAAAAAATACAGGATGTACTTTAAAATTTCCTAGTCTGTCTCCCACCTATCAACCTGCTTTATTGGTAAGATCCCTGCTTGGAAGTGGAAAGATGATGAGTTTGATGGTTGTCAACCAATCTTGAAGTATGTAAAGGGGTTTGCTTGTTGGACTGAGGTATAAAAAACCTGAACCACTACTAGACCCTGCTATAAATGTACCTAAGTCATGGATTCAGCTCTTATCCAAATAGATTTTACCTTTGACAGACTGACGTGAAAACAAGTCCTGTCAATAAGTAGGCAGATAGCTCAAGAGATTTTATTGACTGAGCTACCTTCTGACAGTGGGATGCTCACTTACTCCCTTTAAAAACTCGAAATTGGAGTTGATCTGGGGTCAGATTTGAGGTTTACATTTTTTAACACTCCACATAGCTTGAATCCAGCTATCTCTGAGGTTTAAATATCACGCCTTTAAATCCTGATTGTCTTTTTTATTTCATTTCTCTCAGGTGTATAGAAAAAATCTGACCCAGTAGTTATTATCACTGTTCCTCTGTAATATTGTCTAAAGTGCAAGAGAAAACCTGCTTCCCTGCATCGATACCCTGAATATTCCGAGGATTGCCGCTCAATCCTACTTCTCAGCATTGTGATCGAGTTCCATATTTCTGACCAGGTCCTCCAATGTTGCATTCTTCATAAATTTGGAGATCCTGAAACCAAACTGCTTAATCTTAGTGCTGACTTACTAGCAAAATTTAGAACACACCCTATTTTATAGTTCTAGCTGCTGTATTCTGATAAGTGTTTACTGAGACATTGAACGGTTTAGGACATTTATAAAGCTTTTCACTATGTTAATGAATGAGAGTGCAGGTGAATGCTTTTCAGCAGGGACATGAATAAGTGCATTAGTATGTGCACGAGGAAATGGAGAGGATGAGTGTATCCTTAAGCAGCTAAATGAATTGTGGATGGATGGATGAATGAGTGAGGTGTATGGGCAAATGAAGGAGACGTATGGGTGAATGGCTGATGGAATATGTGGTGTGAATTCATAGCTGAATGAATGAGCATATGGATGAACAGGTGAATGTAGTGAATGAATGAGGTGTATCGGTGGAGGGGTGAATGGTTGAATGAATGAGCATCTGAATGAACACATGAAGGAAAGGAGGAGCAAATTACTGCAGATGCTGGAATCTGAACTGAAAATAAAAAAATGCTGGAGATCGCACCAGGTCAGGCAGCATCCACGGAGAGAGAGCAAGCTAACATTTCGAATCTAGATGATGAGGAGTCATCTAGACTCAAAATGTTAGCTTGCTTTCTCTCCATGGATACTGCCTGACCCACTGTGATCTCCAGCACTTTTTTTTATTGTTTTCAGCATGAATGAATGAGATGTCTGAGTGAATGTCTGAACGGATGAGTGTTAGAGTGGATGAGATCAGAAGGAATTAGCAGATTGGGACTGGTCATGTCAGGTTGTGGGGGTGACTCAAGGGGAAGGACAGAGAGGAGTTGGATGTTCAGCCCATAGTCAGGGACTCAGTTGGAGGGCACATGGAGCAAGAGTCTAAGGAGTGGATTGAGGAGTTCAGTTGGATTGTTAGATCGGTGTTCAATAAGGACTTTTTCCTTCTAAGATTTCCGCAGTAACAATGCATGTAAGTAAATCTGAACCATTTGAAGCTAACTCATGGTCAGAAGCATTGTTTACAGGATCCTGGCATGCAGGAGGATTGTCCGTTAGAAGTTCAAACATAAATAAGTGAAGAATATGCATTGTAAGTCTGGTTTCCAAATACCTGGAGACCAGAAATTTTAAATCAGTTGCTACTGATAAGACCTTACTCTCATACACTCATACAATGGGGAAGTATATATTCTAAAGGGAGAAATCCAGACCCTTAACATACCTGGGATATTTATGGGATAGCTTTGAACTATTAAAACGAAGCAGGCTTTTGGAAGGTAGCTAATATTCTCAGGTAATTTCTTCCCCTGTGGGAAGGTGACGTCAATCTGATCAAGTTAGACCGAAGACTAAACATTTGTGCAACTGATCAGCTGAAATGCAGCAGACAAAAATTATTAGGGAAGTACTCCAGATCTAAGTTAGCTGAAAGTGAAAGTTAAAGAAAACCTCAAATCACTTCAGTGATACATTAATGCACATTGATCTGAAAAATGACGGCCACGCTGGCCACTTCAGCAGGCATTAAGAAACAAGTAAAATGAAGCAAGCATTCAGGCCAGGGTCCTGCGGGACACTCAGACTGACAGGTTGAATTGCAAAGACAATCTGACAGCTAGCCTAGTCAATTTCTGACAGACTGACAGGTGACTAGATTTGTTGATTTAATTTTACAATATGCCATGGTATGAGTTGAACATCCTGGCATTTATTGCTAGAAAAGTGATTTCACTGTTCTCCACAACTGAACTATCCCATTTTTGATACTGTGTGTCAAACCCTCCATGTGGTCTGATCAGGCTATGGTATTCCACAACTTCAGTATGACTTTCATTTCAGTCATTTATTTACGAATATAACTCCGTACCATATTTGCTTTGTTTATCATTTCTTTGCATCGGTCCACCCTGTTGATTGATGCACCCATGTTTTTGCCAACTTTGCCCTTTTCAGTGTTAATCCCATTGCTAAAATGAAAGACTAAAAATATGGGGTTAACTGGTCTTCCACGCATGCAAAATTAGCAAAATGTCTTCATTCTGCACTGTCTCAAATTGTGTGATCTGTGATTTTTTCGAGTAGAATTCATCATCACTGTCACACAGTTTACCTCAGTATGGCATGGCAAAAACTACTCTAGCTGAGTGGAAAATCATACAGTAGCAACAACAACATCTTGCATTTATCTCACACTTTTAACATAGTAAAACATCCTGAGGCATTTCACAGTAACAAGCAAACAAAGCAAATATATTGTACAGAGAAAATTGGAAAGGGACAAAGTGGAATACAAGAAAAATGCATGCAATCCTTTAACAGCAAAAGACTGGTCAGGTAAGAAGTGAAAACCTGAAGGAATCTATACAGGGATGACTGTGAGGACAAACACGAACTAGTTAGTACACAAGTTGACTGGATCTTGAAGGATTGCTTGTTCTTCTTTTCCTAGTCTGAATTTAACTTTGAAAAGGTAACATTTTTAAAATGAAAATTTTGACAGCAGGAGTTATATCCTGGCTGCAACCCCACTTTTATAGAGATGCAGTTGAGTCTTTTATGGGAGAATTTTCCAGGAGATGAAAGCTACTATTTGAGGCAGTAATAGTCAATCAACCTATAGCTTTCAGAGCTTTCCTACTACTTTCTTTGACACTCAAAAATTAACAACAGCATGATCCTACTTTATTATGCAGATTCGCACAGTGGTAGTTCAATTATGTAAGATATTCATATCTTTCCTTTGATTCTGACTTTATATAATGTATGACTGCAGTGTTGCAATCCAATCCATCTCTTCAATGAACTATGGCAAATTTAAAAAAAACATACATTACAAAGTGTGTGTGTGTTCAGCATTTGATTGATTTTAAAAGTCTTCACAGAGACACCAATTTTGGTTACATGTTTCAAGGAACTCTGATGTTATTGCAAAAGCATCAATTTTGCTGTTCATTGTCATTTTCTTTTAATGTAGGAATTTGTTTAATCCCATAAGCAGTCCTTTCAAATAAAATACATGCACATAATAATATGTTGGTGCAAAGAACAACCTTGAGGGTCATAGCTACACAAAGAAACTCTCCACTGATGCATCCATTGAACTGTAATAAATTCTCAGAGGTTCTATAAACCCATCACAAATACCTTTTCTGTAGTCTGCTGATGTGTACCTTCCAGTATGATATGGATTACTAAGATTCAGTAAAACCTCTTATTAGAATTCAAG